ATTGTGCTGACAGACATGCACAAGACGCTTGCAAAAACCCATACAAACGAGCGCCAGTTCTCATACCATTAAACATCTGCTGTCAGACGGCTTAAAACGTCCATGCACTACTAACGTACCACCAAATGTACATAACAAAGTATTTTCAATTTCACTGTGCCATTTTGTTAAATATTACCAGCCCCTTCGCACGTGTCCGTCCGGTTTGTAGAAATGAGCAATCCTGTATTACGAATGCCATAGAAAGGTTGTATTATTTTACAGAAGCAGTACACGTGGCTTGAAACGCCTCAGCTGGAAGACTGTCATTCATCTCAGGTGGATAAGCACCTTCGGTAGTACGACAGCTGGCAACGTTAACCCGCCTTGCATTTTAATTTGGTCCTGCAGTTAACTTACTGCATTATTGATCGACCAAAATACCGAATCAATGTTCTTCTTGTTACCTAGCCACTCTGGTGTAAGACAGTGATAATGTCACCCGGAGTAATTTTCATTGCAAAAGACACCTATGCCATATAACATCAGTATAAACACGGAACGTAGCCGTATAAGAAAAGTGAGAGAAACAGAGAGCAAAGTTCAATACGTCTAGGAAAAAGGCGTTTTCTAGAATCTTACGTAACTAGAAATAACGCTAACTATGCCGTTAACTACCAATGCCACTGTTTGCATAGTCGATGCAGCAGCAACAATTTATTATTATTATTTTATTATTATTAATAATAACAATAAAATAATAATAATAAATGTTCGCAATAAATCTGGACAGAAAGGTTACAATAACCATCCGTCTCTGCGCTATTTAAGATGATGAATTATCGTGCCCTATTGGTATTCGTCTTGAGGGGGGAAATGTTTAATTTCATGAAGAACTTACAAAAGAAACCATGAAGATGTCACTGCGTACAGAATTGAGTAAATAACAGTCAAATATCTAGATTCGTTAATAAAAGAGCCAGGAACCCCCCCCAGGACGAGCAGCATAATATTTACCAAGGCAGTGTAGAGACTGCAGCGAGAAAGACACCGGGCGCTCTGACCTTCCCAATCAATTATAGCCCATGGCTCCCGGGTGCTGCACGATTTAGCCACAAATTCTTCCTTTATGGGCTCTTTTTTGAAGCCCTGCCTTCTCCTTAACACCTCCGGCAGGCCGGGTGACCCCCCACCCCACAAGAAATTAGCGGGGACATGCGGAGTAGGCGTCTCCACTACAGCGGTAGCTTCGGACGATCAAGTGTTAAGCATCTTTGTTGTTGTGGGGGCTGTAAGCATGCCACTAGGAAAAATAAATAAAAAGCTCAATAACTGTACATTGCCTTTATTTAATAATTTAAACTTCCGTTCGTGCGTCACCTCTGCTTTTCGTTTTGTTTTACAGTCCTTCACACCTATTCCATTCCCTGTAATTGATTAAACAGTAAATGGATCAGTAAATTAAGAACGCTGCAAAAAATGCTAGTGTTACAATGATTACGAAGTACACTTTGGATGTTAGCGTATTTTATTGGCCTGCTTGAATTAGTTTCAACTTCTGTACCTTGTGAAAATAGTGGAATGAAAAGGCGGGAAAATCTACCTGTATCAGTTTGGAAAATAAGATGAAACTAACTACACGGCATACACAAAATGTTACACCGTAACGTACGACATAATTTTATTAAAATATTTTACTACATCATGAATGGTTATTAAAACAGCTGTTGGTATAAGAACCAGTTCAAATCCCTTTCCGATCATGAAATCACACCTTACGCTGGTTAACTTTTAATAGTTTTAGTGTTATATTCCGGTTTTCCCAAGAGTACAATGAAACTTGTATATACAGTAATCTGTTAAAGTAACACATTTGATTCTATATTAAAATACAAATAAGCTTTTATATGAAGTAAATTCTTTAGCCATAAAATGTTATATACAGGTAACCAGAAATATTTTAATTGAAAAGGCGTTCTTTGTATAATTTAAGATAAAGAAAATCATTATGAATCGTAAAGAACTATAGGGCTACTATATTCGAGACATCTGCTTTATAATAATCAAGATTTTCCATTCAAATAGGATACTTCGGACGTTTTCAGTTACATTTTGTAACACAGCCGCAGTCGCGCAAGTTAAATGTATCACATGTATACACATTGTGTTGAGATTTGTGAAACACGATAAACCGAGGCGTACATAACTTATTTCGTGTAAGACTAAAAGTAGACTTGGTAGGATATCCTTCATGATCGATTTCAAATAAAATAAGCAAATCACATCAATCTTGAAATGTTCATCGTCATTCTCCCTTTGGCTGTAATAAAACCTAAAGGCATGAAATTCCAAGTAGGCAGAGAATGATAAAACCTGAATTATGTATTTGCGTCTCCTTTCCAAAATCCCAAAATAAATTCTTGCCAGCGCAGTCGAAAAAAATGGGATTTGAGGTAATCCGACCTTCCAAATAGCACCCTCACACAATCTCCTCCAGTTCGTCAAATGCATACACATCAAGGCTGATTAACTGTATTTTCTTTTTAAATCAGTTGTCACACCAATTAACAGATTTTGACCTGTAACTTGATTCGCCGGCGATAAGGAAAGCTAAACGTGTCTTCTGTCACTTTGAAATAATAAAGTTTCACAACTATAATTTGAAGAGCCCCTATTTGAAGTCTCATCTGACCTCTTTTCTTGTTTCTAATTTCATTATGATTATTTTGAGTCTTGTGTATTGCAGTGAGAACATTTACGGCCTACTCAACGACATGTTTATTCGTGAGAAGATGTGAAATTGTCTATTTTGCATTCGTATAAAGAAGTTCAGCAATCAGATCACAGGCTTAGCCAGATTACAACGGCCGCTTATGGGACGAAGCGATAGTAACATAAACACACCTGAATCCTAATGCATAAACGAATGAACGGTAATGTCATGCAAAATATCGCGTTATATATAAACCACAATAGTCGGTTATAATGCAAAAAAATGACATTTAACCCGCCCGTTATTAAGAGGAATAACATTACGAGAAATAGGCTACATATAAAACCGTGTATGTAATAAAATACGAACCGGGGATATTTTTTCGTAGGTTACGGAAACTAACGCCTATGGTTTCCGGGCCATATTTAAATATGTTTTGTTCGTGCATGGGCGTATGATAGGAATAATGAACCATCGCCTTAACGTGTTACTAGGATGAGAGGTGCATGAACTTTGAGCGCTGTTGTGCAGAACCCAGCTTGCAGGCACATAGGCTAAGCGAAACCATGCGCCTTTAATTTTATTGTAACCGCTTTCTTATCGTTGGATTTACTTGGCCGTGTGGGGAAATGCGGTTTATTTCGCCAAAGGAAATTTATTCGATGGTTTAATAAAACAATCTATTCATTTTCTTAAATACGCACCTTTATATTTTATCAATTCGATTGAAAATATACTTAAAACTCAACTGTTTTAGATATACCGAATGCTGCAAATAATGATTTACATGTAGGCCTGTAATGTTTAACAGCTACAATACTACAATATCAAAGCTACAATATCGTTGGACGTTAACTGCATTACTGAGCGCTAAGCGGTGATCACCATTTTGTCTGAATAGAACCACAGGCGGTTTGTAATAAGTGGACTACGCTAAAATCGAGATTCTGTCGGGTCGTCGTCAGTCTTTGGACATTAAGCAGTAACATTTAGAATTTGCATTTATCATCCAGGATTTTCTAGTGTCAAACTTGAGAGATAATATAGCCTATCGGTTATTATCACTCACAAATAACGAATAATCAGTTAAAAGAAGATTAAGGATTTCAACAACTACAATGCTCGATCGGATCACTAAAACAAAATTGGAATACATTAGTCTTTTAATCCTTTCGTCAATATTGCAGGATGGCTATTGTAAAATTGCAAGCAAGAAATTATTTAATTCTACTGTTTTGAAAATGATTCAAAAGAAAAGACTTAACAGTACAAAGCTGCTTCTTCCGGATTTTCATATGTTGTTTCGGGGAATTTATAACCAGCATCTGCTTGTGCTATAGAACCACACTGTGTACAAAGTGAGTTTTCGGAAATTAAGCATCCTGTGAACCAAAAATCACTGAAAATTTTCGCATAACGAGTTTTTTTCCAACTATATCAAAGAAATGCTTTATACCGACGTATACTCAAATCTCAATTACGTATCTAGATTGTCCCACGTTTTAGCAGTGTTGTTGCCAAAAGTATCACCTTTTAACAAATAACGACTCACAACTGTATCGTCTAACGCTATTAGCTATTAACTGCAGAAATCACATCTCTAGAGCTAGTTTAATAAGTGCATTAGCGAGAGTTATTCATGGTGACGCTGCTGTTAAGCATTTACAAACAGAGCCGTCAGACTAGAAAGCTTCCAAGCCTTCTACTTCGTGCGTTACGTCGCCTTGAACCTCAAAACATCAAGTACCGTGGTAGGTAGAAAAATATATGTTCTTGAGTTGCTGGAGGTTATGTTGTTAGTGGCCCCGAGAAAAGTAGTCAAACTGAGACATTATCAGTAAAAAAAAAACACATCGTATGTATAGGTAAAATTTTTAATTACTGTGCATGAAAGTTACCTTCTAAGCTACAAAAGTTTATTAAGAATTAGTAGGATTAGTTGCTGTAGCAGAAAAAGGAACATAATTCTCCCAATTCTTTAAATTTGGGTTCCGTTAGATACATTTTAATTGATCATTATGAACAACATTGTAAGTGCGATCCTAAGAACAGCTAAATTGTAAATAATCAGTCAATCATTTAAGAGAACTGAATTATTTGTCATTCGTGTATGTGACCGCAGACAGCGAATTAGCAGTGAGAATGGAACAGGGCTGCGTGGGGGGGAATAACAAATGAAATGATTAGCGATTAGATCTGAAAACATTCAAATAAGAGGTTGCGACGTCAGTCCACTTATCCAGCGGAAATACAAAGTGAGCAAGAGCGAAAGGCGGGCGAAACGGAGAGGGCGAGAGAGTGAGAGAGAGAGAGAGAGAGAGAGAGAATGAGGCTTGAGAAATGGGAGGGGCTTCTAAACGACTATGAATGTCAATCAGAGCTAAGAGTCCCAATAATCTAAAGCAATCTTTAAGGACCTGACCTTAGTCCATTCCGATCAATAGGAAAGTGAGGGTGGAGAGCGCTATTGGATCGTTTTTACACCAGCGCTGTATGAGGAAATATAGACTTCCTTTACAGCTGGCCGTACTCAGAATAAAGTGGATACTGTAGTAGCTGCCAAGAAAGCGATTTACTTTTTGTTATCACAGCAGCCTTTTTTCTGCGACTATGTCTTTCCCGCAGCTGGGATATCAGTACATCAGACCGATGTACGCCTCCGAGCGCCCGGGGATCAGCAGTTCTCGAGTCGGGACGGAGCTCAGTCCATCCGGCGCGCTCTCTAATGTTCTTTCTACGATGTACGGATCACCCTTCGCTGCACAAGGATATGGCGCGTTCCTTCCTTATTCAAACGATATATCAGTTTTCAATCAGCTGGTAAGTTTAATTTTTAAAAATCTATTACTGAAATACTAAAGTGATTGAAGAAAAAATGTAGAAACAAATCGAGTAAAATGTGACTCAAATGTAACAAATGCTCATCTGGCTTTTGTACTAGTAAATCGATAAAGATTATATGTCTTTTTTAAGTAAAACATAGCTTATAATTTCTAGGCGTCTAAATAGCGAACTTTCCGTATAGACAATAACAAAAACAAACAAAACAATAACAAAAACGTGGAACTCAAACAAAAAGTAAAATAAGTGATATACCTGGTATGTTCAGGTGCATTTCTAACTCTACAACGTGCACACCGTCCGCAGAAAGCACACTAATAAGAGAGGCTGTTTATGTATGTTTACATCGCTGTAGACCCAGAACCTGAAGTCTATATCTTTGCAAAATATGCAATTAATTAGTTTGTACTTTTATTGTTTGTAATACTTTTATTTAATTTTAAAATCCTATATACAGAACTCTGCACGCCAATCTGAGGTTTAAGCCCTCGCGTTTAAGCCCCTTAGTTACAAAAAAACTCATCATGCCTCTTCCAGACCTCTGCCTAAATGGATGCACTGCGACCAACCGCGATTATTTTGTTCATAAAGTGACACATGCGTGAATGTAACTTTTTCAGGGCCAGGAACAATGTATTTACTAATATGTCTCCATGTCCCTGTTTGTTACTTTTTTCTCTAGGGAGCTCAGTATGAATTGAAAGACAGCCCGGGTGTACAGCACACAGGATTTGCCCATCAGCACCCCGCTTTTTACCCCTATGGGCAATATCAGTTTGGGGACCCATCCAGGCCCAAGAATGCCACCAGGGAGAGTACAAGCACGCTTAAAGCCTGGCTGAGCGAGCACAGGAAAAACCCGTACCCCACCAAAGGCGAGAAAATCATGCTGGCCATCATCACCAAAATGACCCTGACTCAAGTGTCCACCTGGTTCGCTAACGCCAGGAGAAGACTAAAGAAGGAGAACAAAATGACCTGGGCGCCCAGAAGCCGGACAGACGAAGAAGGGAATGTTTACAACAGTGATCACGAAGGAGACGAGGAAGACAAGAGGGAGGATGACGAAGAGATAGACTTAGAAAATATCGACACGGAAAATATCGAAAACAAGGACGACCTGGATGATCAGGATGACATAAATGCCGATTTGAAACTTGACGGGAGAAGCGATTCGGAAATTTCTGACAGTTACGAGGACTTACAGGCACCAGACCAGAGATTTCTAAAAGTTGTGGTCAAAGAAAGCAAGGACACTCAGGGGCGCCAAGGTGACCACTTAAACCGTCATTCCCTAGAAATAAAAGCAACACATTACAACGACGATCAATTAAAAATAAACCCAGCATCTGTCAATTCGCCACCTTCAGACAATAACTTGGCTCTGGCCCAGAAACCTAAAATCTGGTCTTTGGCCGAGACGGCGACAACTCCAGACAATCCCAGAAAGTCTCCACAAATACATGGAAATTCTGCCGGGCTTGCAGCGCAAACGATCATCGCTCCTCATAGACTAATCTCTTGCCCTGTTGGGAAACTTCAAAACTGGACGAACAGAGCTTTTTCTGCCCACCAGTTTGCTCTGTTAAACTCGAACCATTACCTTGGACTAGCGAACCAGGCGTCTACGAACGGCCTGGCCATCTACGGCAGACACACCGAAGACAAGAGTCTTCATTCAGAATCCGTTCTATCAGGTACTTATTACCGGGGCTGACGTTTCATATGCATATATATATATATATATATATATAATTGTTTTTTTGTACAACCTTGTATATTGTATAGCATATCACTCAAGTGCATTTTCTATTTATCACGTTTTTACATCATTAAATTTAATAATAAAAATAGAAGCCATTATTACTTTTAGTTTACAATTAATAAAATTGCAGATGTTGCGGTAGTAATTAAGTCTGTCTCTCTAAATACGTAAGAAGTTACATTTAGATGTAACACATTCTGATTTAAATGCCGAGGCCTGACCACCGGGAAGTTGTAAACGGGAAATATGTTTTTAGGATGGGTCGTTAAGCTGGAACAGTTTCCTTTTTGATAACGAATTGGGTGTAAAAAGACAATTAATGGACTGGGTTATGTATTTTAGTTTTATATTCTGTTAATTTTCACCTAAAATACTCCGTGAGTAATCAATAATGTGTTTCTGTAGAAGTCACCGATGCAGATTGCGGAGTGGTGACATTTTTTGTACGCGTTCAAGCCTGCAAACTCATATTTAAATGCATCTTGCGATTTTAATTTCAGACAGAACTAGTGCCTTGGATGCAGAGAAAAAGTTAAAAACAGCCTTCCACCCTGTTCAAAGACGGTAAGAAGCCTGTATTGTTTTAAGCGTATTTATTTTGCCGGTTCACAGATATATTTTAATGTCTAGAACAATGATTTGACGTCAAATTCATATAATAAAAATCATACGTAAATTAACTAAGTAGAATATAATAAATGGCTGCATTGAAATATTTATTATCGATCGCTTCCCCCCTAAAAGTAGATATTTTTAATGAAACATACCCAGATTATTTACGTTGTTTTTCCCGTATTTTGCAGGCCACAGAACCAGCTAGATGCCGCAATGGTTCTATCCGCACTCTCATCCTCATAGTCTTTTTCATTTTTTTTTATTTTGATTTGCTGTAAGGAATGTAAATTAAGAATACTGCATCTATGTATAATTGTAAGCATGTCCTGTGTAAAACTGCTAATGTAATATTGTATGAAAACTGTAGTCTTTGGAGTTCTTTTTGTAAGTTCCGTAAGAATTTGATGTTCAGACTGTTTTGTATATAAAGTAAAGAAAATGTACATATTTGTGAATCAAATTGTACAAGAAAATATATATATTTTGGCTAATAAATGAACAGTTACAACTATCGATTGCATGTTTTGTTTGTCGTGGTTAAGAGGCATTATCGAGAATTTGGCATAAGCGATTTTTCCCTGTTTGCGAATTTAAATCATTACATTTCGACTGAAAAGCGCGCTTGTCTCCAGCAAAGGGAACGGCAGTTATACTGCATTAAAACTGAAGGGAGATATTTTTCGTTTATTTGAAACCTTTCCATCTTCGGGGGACTCTGGTTCGGGCAGAATTTGATTAGCTCTAATTTTCTTTGTCTTTGAATTATAATTGTGAATTGGTTAATGGTACACAGGCAATGTGCAAACTGTTGAGAAAGTTTGTTTCTTTGATTTTTATTTCATTTTTAATATGTATTGCTTTTCAGTCATTTAATAATAGTTCATTTTCAGTCATTTAATAAGTTGTTCTGAAATACATACCATACGCCACCAGTACAGTATCATCGCATATTATGTTTGCTTACCTCTAATCGATTTGCATATCAACGGATTTTCTTTTAACTCAAAAGAAGTATTTTTTTTAGGAAAGCTGGAACTTGAGCTCCCTCTACAGGTTGATTCAAATCTCGCATGTTTTCTGAAGGCTCATTTACTGAACAGTTGCATTTGGACCTATACATATATTTAATTTATTCTGTGTATGTGCCAAATGCGTTCATATTGCAAGCAAATTTGTTTTTTGCATAATTAAAATTCGGTGGCAATATCGAAATATTAGCAGTCAGCGTTGCTCGTTAAATATAACGAATAATACTGTTTCTTCGTAGTTTCTCATTGCAGTCGAATAGTTAAAACATTTAACATTTCTGAAATTCTGCTTAGAAATATTGAACTTTCAGCAAGAAATAAAAATTTGACAATAAAATGACAGTTATATTAATTATATGATTATATGCTATTGACTTTATACAGTGGTCCACTAAAATGGCCTACGGTAGTATTATAATGAGAATGTTTACAGAATTTACAAAATAATTTAATTCGTAAATTACTTTTAGGATGTGGCAACATCTCTCAAATGCTCTCAAATGCTTAATTATTTTAATTAAATTTCGAGTTAACGAAATATAAAATGCAAATTAGAAAATTAAAGGTTTAAACACACAGCCGTTCTGTCTGTGCGCTGTTTAACAACTGATTAATGACTTGCAAAGAAATACATTAAACAGATAAAAATATATATATTTTTACCCACATGTTTATTACCCATAATACCACTACCAACACCATCAGCACTATTAAATAGCTAGGTGTTAAAATTTTGAATGTAAATTACTTTTCACACAAGAGATTCCTACCAATTATGCCTGTAAAATCACATTTTATTAAAATTCTGGACAAAAACGAACTGTACAAATGAACTTGTGACAAATTCAGATTTTTAAACTGTGTATTATGTATAGCACTAAGAAATGCATAACTATCGTTTATCAAATGTGGCAGTCTAAAACAATGAACTAAAACTAAGGTTCAGTAATGGGTTTAGTGCTATTGGACAGTTTACTATTATCCGAAAAAAAGCAAAGATGCTTTTAGAAATCTGACACGATGTTAAAGGGAGCATTGGTCCGGTTGGTGAACCACAAAGAGGCTGAATAAGTGACAGTACCTCACCATCTAGACATCTATACAGGCCGAAACACTGCTTAGAGACCCGGCCAAGAGTGAGGAAGGAGGAGTGAGTCAGGGGCTTTGTATAACAGGAAAAAGAGCCGCCTTTCCCAGCCTTCTCTCCATGTCGCCTTCCTGTCTAATCAATTATCTTCCTGAGAACCCAGCATCTAAGTGAGCGCTTATTATGCATAATTCATAAATCACAGCATCGTCTCGGACACTGATTGATGTCATCATCTTTCTGCTTTATACCCGATCTCTCGGAGAAGCGCAAGGCCAGATTAGGCACAGGAAATGGCACGATGTGCAAGTGACCGATATCATTGTATTCCGCCCGCCTGAAGCATGCTTCTAGGCCAGTAACAAGCATGAGTATTTCACGTAAAATGACCTTTTATGCAATGCATATTATATATTGTTACGCAACTAGCTTAAAAAGATCTGATTACAAACTGAATGTTTGTGATAATTAAAAATATTATTATTCGGTGTAAAAGCGCCCGCATCGATACTGTTCGAATTAGTTCAAGCTTAATAAATCGCTGCACAAAATTGCTGTTCTAAAGTGTCAGTTAAACAAAATAATCATGGCGGCTGTGTCCAACAAGCGTCTTTTATATTACAGCAAATGGAAGATATTAAGCAACATTTTGCTCAGAGCGGCACGGAGGCCATTTCCGCGAGGGCATTGAGCATCATTCATTTATTCACACTTTAAGTGGATGTCCTTGCGGCTAATGAGCAATAATCAACACTGACTCCTCTTTTTTTTCTTCGCTCCTAGCAATGTTTAACACCCGACAGAGAGCCTTTTGCAAACACACAAGAGAATATGCTTTGAAATTGCTGATGGATAAAATTGCATGTGCTCGCAAAGAGCTCGCTCCGCTCATGTGTGCACACACAAATATACACACCAAATCATCGCTCGAAAACGAAATCAATCTATTATCAGTTTTGTACTAATGATAATATGTAAGTTGTGCATGCTACGTAACTCTAACACGTACTCTATCGAATCAAGATCGGATCAATCTTTACGCTGAATATCAGTATGAGGTCGATCATACAAAGTTCTATATTTACAGTGCTTTTTTTAAACTGTGTAAAGTGATGTAAAAGTCATGGGAAACGATTTTCCAAAATCGACCTACATTTAAATGAAACTGTAATATTTTTTTTACAATTACATTTAAAATAAAAAAACTGAAAAAATTATGAATTATATGGATATAGAATGCAATTTGACAAACAAGAAACACAATTTTAAATACTATCCAATGTTTTAAAAGTAAATTTGTAAATTGTATACATAGAAGGTACAATCTGAATAGATGACCCAGCTACCTGTAGCAAACCAAACAATAAACAGAACAATATGTTTGGCTTTGCAGTGGAGTACAGATATGCATCTAACTGTGGGCTTTGGTTGATCTAGTCGAGCCAGATTGCATTGCTCTGGTATCTGTGAGGGCCTGCAAAAGGAGCCGTCAACTTCTAATTTGAATTTAAAGAAAATAAAGTAAATAAATACAAGCGTTTCAGACAAGTGGTGTGCTCTGAAAGAGGCCAACGGGCAAAAAAAAAAAAGTCTCCTTGTGTTGCCAGCCCATCCTACTCCTTGGCTATTGTCCCCTGGCCCCCAGTCGACACCTCCTCTCCTGTGGGCAGCCCCGGCCCCCTAGATGTTCAAATGTCACTCCTTTTGTACCCCGCGTCCGGCTTTGAAGGCGCCGGGGCCCATTGTCCGGGCTGCTAATCCCTTTATGAGGCAATGCTGATTGTCCCCTCACAACATCGCTGGAGCAAAGCGCTGCTTCTCCAGCTCTGGGTCGCCACTTCCCTCCGAGGCTTTAAAGAGGGTGAAAGTGAGATGGGCCGCGGGGCAGGAATTGGGGCGGGGGCAGGAGGGGCAGCGGTCGGATCACGGCCCAACTGGTCACAATAAGCTTTAGAGAAAGGCGGACCGTGACCTCGTCAGGGGGATGCGCCCTGCTCTGCGACCGCAGCTCTCAGGCATGCCCAAGGATCTCGCAGGGAGCAGAAACACCCCGGATTACTAAAGCAGAGCGCTCCCCGCTTTCTTCCAAGGAGAGAGAAACACACTTATAAAGATGTTTTGAAACACTTTATAGTAAATACTTGGACCGAGTCGGAACGGACTAAAATCACTGCTCCTGCTTCCTAACTATTGCCATTAGTTGAGTTTGCTGCAGCATTTTTTTTTGTTTTTTGTTCCGTAGTGCCACTATAAATACAAAGGGTTGGGAACAGTGCCATTCACTGGCGCTGGAACAGGGGCGAAGGAGGACAGATTTCACGCCTATTGTTGGGGGGAGTTAGGGAAGGGAATGCCTTCGCTGGACTCGAAAGGCAACAAGTGGGGAATGTGGCAGCAGCGGCTGCTCCCGGGCCTATTGCCGTGCAGCCATCTGAAAGACTGTGCTTTTCTGGGGCCTCTTCACATTTTTTTTTTACCCAAGTCGCAGGGCAATTATGGAAATGGACCCTTTGAAGCTGGGCAGAGCTCTCTTTATTTTCTTTCCCCCATCGCCCCCCCCCCCTTCTCTTAATCTTCCCACAGCACCATTCCGGCTGTAGTTGTTTTTTAACAGAGTTTAGCGGTTGGTTTATTAGAGTTACTGCTGTTAATGAAGGATCACATCCTCTATCTTACTGTCTCACAGACACATACGCACGCACACACTTATTAGGTATGTTTCGTTGTGGAGACTATATTCATTTCTATGGGCAAAACCCTAATCCCAACGATAACAACCTACCCAGCCCTAACCTTAACCATAAGTAACCAAACAAAATACCTGGTCTTTTGGCATTTTTAGTTTTTTGATTGCAGTCACAGATTTTTATACAATTGACTGAAAAAAGTCCCCACAAGGTTGAAATAACAGGTTTATGGGGACATTTTCGATGCTGACAGCCCAGGCTGGTTTGGTCCGCCAGAGCAGCCACTAGCTGGACCAAGCTTCCCTTTCTCCAAAAGTCCATAGGAAACATCTGAAGTCCGACGGCCCCTGCGCTTTCTCAGCTTTGCACACTATTCACCATTGTAGCACAGAATGTAGACACTGGGTGTGAACTAATAAGACGTACTTTCTCCTGATGGGAGTCTCAAGGTGCGGGAGGCCAAGATGACCCAACACAGCGCAGCAATCTGCCATTTCCAGAGTGATGTTAATGCTCTCAAGGTCAGATTGGCTGCCATTAATATTAACAACACATTTTTATTTTTGCGGGGGGGCGTGTTATGACACAGACTGTAAAAACGTAAGCCCCCCCCCCCCAGCCACTTCTCAAGACTGTGTTTCAGGTTTCTTTTGCCAGAGTCTGTAATTACACCATTTGTAAGTAGAGGTATTAAGTCAGGCCTCTGTTTT